CAGAATTCCAATCGACATGTTTGATATATCGTTGGAAAGGTCTTGCAGAGTGTGTCCAGAAAATATATTCAGGCTTCGTAAACGATTTACCGGATTCTTAAAAATTAGGCTAAAGTGTTGCTTTTGCCGGTTTAAGGGGGCATGTGGTTACACCCAACACATTTAGTATTATTCTATAGGCCAATACCTTTCAAACGATACCTTATATATTAAGTTCCGGCCTCTAGTTGAAAAGATATAGAGGTAAATGTGTTTTGGTTCGTGTCTCCACTACGAGATGCTTTGGTGTGTATGTGGCGTCTGTACGTACCATCATTTAATTTTTCTCAGACTTTCAGGAATTAAAGTACACAAAAAACTAAGAAGGTTTTGTTCCAGGATGTTTTGATTCGTATGCCTGTGGGGGCGTGGCTGCTGCCTGAAATTCGAAAAAAGGCAGTTTTTTAAACTACCACTGAGGCCGCACTACTCAGTCCATGTCATTGATGTGAATATCAGTAGAAGGATCTTCAAACAAGCTATCTAACGCTATCTTTTGTGTTTATAAACTATAAATACGTCATAACGTTATCGCCTGAAAACTAAAAATCGGGCTGCTGAAAATAAAGATTTCGGGAATTTTCTCAAAAACTGGTCAGTCGATTTTATTCTAAGTTTCCACAAGTCTAGCGCAAAACCTTGGCTTTCATCTGGTATAGTAGTAGTATATTTATTTTTTTAGCAATTCGAATACACACATTTACAACATTATACACACATATTATGGAATTTAAAAATAAATTAAAAATTATGGCAGTAACTAATATTGTTGAGTGCCACACTAGAACTAACATATTAAGTTAACATAAACTACTTACGCAAATTCATTAATAATAAAATCCCTATATTTAATGCTGTTTTGCAAATATTTGTACAACGCTTCGTAATCACCGCCATTTAAAATGTTTATCACTCTTGTCAGGTCCAAAACTTTTTCACCGAAGCTATCCAAACGAGTTGTAGGCTGGGCAGACACCGATAAAGTGGTAAATACTTTCCGCATCGCCAAAGTTACAAACTGGACATATAACAGAGGTTACGTTTTTTAATGATCTCGCATTAAGGTTAATCAACCACCTCTCGCCCGAAAGATTAAGCTAATAGCATACGAAGAGTGCTCGTCGTTGAAATATTTAACCCCTACGGGTGTTAAATGTGGGTAAAGGTCATGTGTGCTTTCATCTGGTATATAGCTTATATCTGGGAAGACTCTTGTTGTGGCGATATTCCTATTCAAATTTAAAAAATGTCGCTCCAAAAAGGGTCAAATGGTTAAAAATTAACAAATCCGCCTAATTTCGTTACTTTAAGATATAAAAATAACATACCCAGTTCCCCGAAAAAAATTGCCCATTCCCCGATTGCTACTTATACCGAAATTCCCTGCAAATAGGGGAATTTCCCGCGAGTTGACAAGTTGAAGGATGCAGCTGTGCTAATCACTTAGTACATGTCGTGGAAACAACAATATGTGTGCATTTTAAAGGTTTTTTTCCAGTCACATGCCGAAATTGTAACATTTTCCCCCATTTTAATTGCAGGTATCTACACAGTATTTAACTATGCTACATGGATCTATCATCCGAACTTAACCTACCTGGTATTTACCTAGAGTTGTACATAAATATGTATGTATAAATGCATTTAGTTCACCCAATGTGCCGCTACTACTTACATACATGTATAAATTGCCACTGAGCAAAACTACTTGAGACAAAATCATCAGTTTAATAGCACGAGTGCAACACCGTACACACGATAGAAGTAAAACTTCTTAAAAAAAGCACATGTGTGCGCCCCACTCCCAGTAGAAATCTTATCAACAATTAAACTACGCGGCAATCAGACGAATACAGTCGTTTATTGTATCCAAAGTTGGTACCAAGTTGATAAGTTTTTATCATTTCTAATATTTTTTTATTTTTATTTTTTTTCGAATACATATCATCCTTGATATTACCATATCCTTGATCATCCTTTTTCGTTTTATTCCGTATTCGAAAAACTATTTGTTACAATAGACACATCGATTTGAATACATAATTTAGATTTAGAGAATAGTTTTAGCAATTTACTTGAGACAAAAAAAAAACATTTAGTTTATTGTTTGTATTTTCGTCGATTTTAAATTTGCTACCCCAAAATAATTGATATCAAATTAAACACCTCTTTGAGGTAAAATTTTCGAGTGACGAAAGCTGAACTAGAAACACAAAATTTATGATATCAATTTCGTGACGAAAAGTATACGCATTTTTAAGTGCCTTTCAAACGTACGGAAAATATTTTTTTTATTTATTCGGAACGTTGCGAATTTCCCTTTACTGCTAGAAACACAGCCGAACATTAAATACCCGGCGCAAGTATTAAATATATGTTTTCCACCTTTCCGAAAGCTACCGCTACATGATAAGCCGGCGTGTACTAGCGTCCTTAAATTTCAAAATATTGAAATCTCAAGCATTTCTGAAATTAACCGTTATATGAAAAGCGGCCGTAATTTTAGTCCGATTTCAAAAATTTTCAATGGTTTACTTTTATGTGGCAAGCACAATAACCATACCGAGTTTGGTACAAATTGCTAGAACGGTTAGCGAGATACATATACGTGATCATAAGAGGGCGGTGCCACGCCCATTTTCCAAAATTTTATCATAAACGTATTTCCTGGCAAAGAATTGTTGCAACCATCATTTTGAATAAATTAGCTTTAATATTTACTGATTTATCGAGGATTTCGTATTTCTCGAAATTACCGTTATATGGGATGTGGGCGTGGTTATTGTCCGATTTTAAAAATTTTCAGCCATTTTGTATGCTGTACCAGGGCCAACAACTGTGCCAAGTTTGGAATAAATTCATGCAGCGGTTACCAAGATATACACATGTAACCATAAGTGGGCGTGGCTACGCCCAATTTCAAAAAAGTTTAATATTCTTATTTTTCGTCTAAAATTTATTATAAATATCAATTTTGAGTGAATTATCTTCAGTAGTTACTAAAATATCGCAGCTTTTTATTTCTGAAAATTACCGTTATATGGGAGGTAGGCGTGGTTATTGTCCGATTTTGCCCATTTTCAATACCATCCGTCCTACGCCCGAAAGAAGTACACGTACCAATTTTCGTTAAGATATCTTAATTTTTACTCGAGTTATCGTGTGCACAGACGGACGGACAGACGGACGGACGGACGGACAGACGGACGGACGGACGGACAGACAGTCACCGCTTAATCGATTTCTCTTTTCATTCTGATCATTTATGTATACATTTGTCTATATCTATCTCGATTCGTTTTGCCTGTTACAAACAACCGTTATGTGAACAAAGTTATAATACCCTTGTGCAAGAGTGCGCTCGGGTATAAAAATAGTGCACAGATATAGTAAATTTAGCAAAAATAGCAACACAAAATCGTTGTACAAAAACTAAACCGTACCGTAGCTTCACTTACAAAATTTGGTAGCACCAAAACAATTGTGTTACACGTATTTACTGAGTGTAGTATTTTGCATTTGAAACAACTAAAAATACTAATAAATCAGTTTTTAAACCTTGGTAGGTACATACAATAATAGCACCAATAATCTGTTCCTGACGTAAGAATAATAAAACACTCAACTTTCCTAAATACTGTTTTGGAGAAATTGCGTGGTTTCATACTAAAATGGAATATATTGACTTTTTAAATTTTTTCAAAACTTAAAACAAAAATACATACATATGTACATTGAAGTTGTTATTTATTGCAATAAATATATATTTAAATAGTTTATTTGAACAAAATATATCGAACAGTTGCAATGATTCTCTAAACAATGGAAAATCCACATGGCTTTGGTTGTAAAAAACTCATGAAAATGTACTTATGCGTACGTTTACACAACGAATTTCTCTAGGAACACTTGGAGCCCTTTTTGATTGCTGGCGCGTTGTGTTCGATGCAATCGTTGCGTGCATATGTTGACGTTGGCGCCGCTGGTAAGCCTGGGGTTTTGCTGAGTTCGTAGTTTCCGGCACAAAGGAGTGCTACTCCAACAGCTTTTGATTATGGATATTTAGGGTGAACACAAACCGAGTGCGAAAATGGAGAGACATTAAAAGTGGAACACCACTACAAGCTTTTTAGGCTTTTAGCTCTAGCCTGAAAAGTTTGCTGTGGAGTTGTTCTTCCAAGTACTTCCTTATATCAGAAAAGTATTGATGCCAATTTAAAGATAACTTAAATACCTTTTATTTAAGCGTTTGGAACCATAAACATTTTCACACAAAAAACTCGACTTTTGAAAAAATGGTGGCTCACTTCACAAATTTTGACTCACTTACATTTTATGCAAGCAATATTAATGTGTTTTCATTATATTATTTTATAGTCAATAACGAAAACCATTGGGACGGGTGGTCTCCTCAATCCTTAAAAACTCCAATCACACCTGTTTTGAAGAAACCAAAAAAGACGGAGAATGTAAAAAAGTCCAAATTTGATCACCTTACGGAAGCAAGAATCGAATTGGTAGAACTGCAAAAAGATATGGCTCTCAAAGAAATGGAATATAAGAAAAAGGAGATGGAACAAAAAACATCAGAACATGAATTTCGAATGGCTCACTATATTAATGAAGAAAAGAGTAAAGAAGAACTGCATCATTTAAACCTAAGCAAAAATTTCTAAATCGGGGCAAATACCATTATCAAATACAGGGCTTATCATAACTTTACTACACTCACATATTGACAAGAATGGACTATTAATTTTATTATTTTTTTATAAAAGTATAGTTTATTCTACCCGTATAAATCCAAGTTTCAATATTTGTGCAACATTTAAAAAGAAACCAACAAACTTTCGTAAATATTTGTACTTGGATTTATATAAAATGAATAGTCAATTCTTGTCAAAATGTGAGTGTAGCAAAGTTATGATAAGCACCATATTAAAATAAAGGAATTTTTGTACTGAAAATTTGCATACATATGTATGTACATACTATTTATTTAATAAACTCAAAGTCTAATTAATGACTCGAAATATTCTAACAATGAGTTTCGTGTATCACTATCATCTGAAATTACGAACTCCATATTTTGGCAAGTTAGTTCCACCTGAACATTTACTTCGGGGTCAACTGGCGGCTCCTCTTCATGCATTTCGATTGCTAGATTGTGTATTATTGCCGATGCCACAATTATGTCTTGTACTAATGGTAATTTACACCTCATGCCGATGCTTAGCACTGGGAACGGTCTCTTCCATACTCCAAAGCAACGTTCTATCACATTCCTTGTCCTTATTTGGGATTCATTGTAGAGGCGCTGGGCTGGAGATTGTGGCGCCGTAAGAGGTGTAATTAAATAATTATTTAAGAAGTACCCGCTATCTGCAAGAATTATACCATTGTTGAAATTGTTGTTGTCGAAATGCCATTTAGCCGCTGAATTCAAAAATATCATGCTATCATGGGTAGATCCTGGCCATCTCGCAACTATATTTTGAAATTTTAGTCTTGCGTTGCACATAGCTTGGACGTTTATAGAGAAATAACATTTTCTGTTTCTAAAGTTTTCCGCTGTATCTCCACCTGAAGTATAGGTATGAATATATGTAAGTACATACATATATACAAGTCGATGTGTATGTAAGGTGGATTACACAACATTGGCATTAAGGCAAAGCATCAGGCTCTTTCATTCCCAAAAATTAAAACACTTTCCGATTTGCGCAACAGTTGAAAACTAAAATTCCTCTCTGAGTAGATATGGTTTAGAAGTAAAAGAAAGTCTGAGTGCTTTGCATTAATGTGTTTTGGAATCCGCATATCGACTGCTGAGTGGAATGTCGACGTATCCCGGCAGCCGATTAAAAACGGTCTATCTCAGTTGAAAATACATATAATGAAAATTTTTTGAGATAAAGCGTTCTTGAATCAGCAGCTGAGATAGGGCGTTTTTCAACCGAATTATGAAATATGGCATTCTTCAATCAAATTCTGAGAAACGGAGTTTTTCAATTATGAAATAGAGCGTTTTTAAAAGGTTTTTGAGATGGGACGTTCTTGAACTGGCTGCCGAGATAGGTCGATTTTCCACTCAGCAGTCGATATCGCACACCGTCTTCAAAGGAGTCACAACTCAAAATAATACGTTCGTCAGAAAATGCGAAAAATTATTTCGTAGCACATGCTTATCATATGGGCAAGGGCGACTTTACCTTAGGTTTTTCTTTTAACAAATTATAACAAAAATTTGCTCCAGCTTTTGCTGAAAGGTAAATAAAAGCTCTGTACATTTTTGCGCATAATTTCAAAAATTCCAAATTTTGAGTTGTGACTCTTTTGAACACGGTTTGCGATATGTACATATATCGCCCCCTGAACTGTAAAAAGCCGTAACTAACAATTATTTTTGCATAAAGCTCTGTATCGATGAAATGCATTTTAATTATGGAAAGTTAGTTCTGGATTTTTTGTTAGTTATGGCCTTTTGTAATTCAGGTGAATATGTGGGCCACGGCCTTTTGCATTTCAGGTAAGGACATGTAACTAGTAAAAAAATTCCTTGCGAAGAAATATAAATTGGACTGACCTGGCGAAATAATCCTTACGTGGGTACAATCAAGAGCGGCAACTACGCGAGGAAATCGGGCAATATCGTAAAATTCTTCCTGTACTTTTACAATTTCCTCGTTTTGCGGTAAACGAATAAACTTCGGACTCAGTGAAGCAATGGAATGAGTAACTTTCTTTATTATTTGGCACACTGTGGACTTATGTAAGCCTGCGAAATCGCCTAAAGTTATATAAAAACTCCCTGTAGCATAAACACGTAAGGTAATCAGAAGCTGTAGCATTCCTGGAACGGCTTGGTTTCTGCAGTAAGATTTATTTAGCTTTTACAAATAACTAAACATGTTTTACGGGAACGCAAAAATGAACTAACCTGGAAGTTAAATGATTATTTTGTGGCCAATTAATGAGAACAGATGCTGAACTGCAAATTTTGAAAGCCTGAACCTTCGAATGAAATCAGCATGTTCCCAATTGTCAAAACGGTTAGGTCTCGCATTTACCGCTCTTTCCTTTCTGGAAATAACACCCCTGAACATTTCTTCTTCCTCGTCAATTAAAAAGTCGTCGAAAATATCAAATAGATCCATTTTTTGGTAAATTGTAAATTTGGTAAATTTTATGAACACGCGAATAGAAACGTCAAAACTAAAAAGATAGGTTATTTGACTCTTATCTGGCAAAAGATTCGCCCAATAAATTTATTCTTTGGATAAGCTTTTTATTCGGCGAATAACACTTAACTGCTTTTTGAAAAACGTAATTTTTTTTATCTGTTGAATAAAAGCTATTCGGCTCTTATCAGTCTATTGAAAATCCGGCCCTAAATAAATAACCGAAAATGGATAACTCAGCCGAAATAGGTACGTGCTTTCGTTGAATTTTATAAATGTAAGTCGAAATTATGAAATTATAAAAATGAGATTTTACAATGAGACTGCTCTCAAAATTGCACTGTTTGTGGGCAAAGCGTCCAACTTGATTGCGGATTGATTTGAACCAACGATTTCGGCTTGCATTATGTCAAAAGGATGTGTTTGTTGTAATTCATTCTGTCATTTACTACCATTATGCGTAGGCCAATTTATGAAATCATTTCATGCGTTTGAGTAGAAGCTGAATGAATGAACACCATTTCATGATTTCAATTAGAGTTTATGCACTTAGGGCCGGTTACTCAATGTCTGGTTAACACTAATCTGCGGTTAAACATCGTTATCGACGTCTTCGACTCCATGCATACAACATGGAGTCGGTAACGTCGATAACTATGTTTAACCGGAGATTAGTGTTAACCAGACATTGAGAATCGGCCCTTAGGCGCATATTCATAGTCATATTTAGTACAGTATATTTTGCTTTGCTGCCTCTATGCTTAAGTGCACATTTAAGATACCTACCTCAAAATGCGCATCAGAGGCATTATTTTTAAAATTTATAAGGAAACTGCTCCTATAGATGCATTCAACATACGTGCACATTGGCGATACCTGCCTTAAAAATTGTGCGACTAGTATCAATTATCAATGAAAGTATTACGTTTACCTGCACTGGCCCTATTTTGCTCATCTCGCAGAACAATGAAAATGGCTATTTATGTAGTTATATAGATAATTAGATAGCAATCGGTAAAAATTTCGCTTGCAGTAATTTCTACATGGTAAGGGCTCCGCCAATATTTGGTTTTATAGGGATTCGGATACCTTCCTCATTGAAGTAGTAAAGAAAATTCGCTTAAGTGCCTTTTTCGGTTACGTGCACAAGTTTTTCGTGCAAAGAATGATGTGCAGCTAAGCAAAATATACTGTACTCAACTAAGTCGAAACTATTCTAAGTCACAACTAAAGCTATTCATAGTCGCCTTAGTTTCGACTTTTCTGGCTAAGTACCAACTTAAAATTTAGTTTCGTCTGCAGCTGCAACTAGGTCGTAACTAGGAAGAAGTATTTTATCAAATTAAGGGAAAACAGACGAAATATGTAAAAATTAAGTTGGTAGAGGGTGATTTTGATAATATTGAATAATCTCCAATTAAAATTTACAAAGATCGATCCATTTTAATCGGAAGATGAAATTAAATGCGTATTACAATTCGAATAAAGCTACATCACAATTTTATAATTGGAATAGTTTAGATAAATTCTCAAATAATAAGTCAGTTTCACGCTAGTTCTTTTAAAGTAAATTTGTGCATAATATTTAGATATATACTATTTGTATGTTTCACAGCATGCTTTCGATAAACATCGACTTCACATCATTGCGGTTGTTCTGGCTATTTCACACAACTAACAAGAAAATGATACCTTATTCCTTTGCATAATCATGCAATTAAAATAAAAATTACATAAGCGGATGATCAAACTTGACATTATTTAATAAAAACGTAATTTTTCCAAAATATCGTAAAGAAAAATCGATACATTTTCACACTCGTTTTGCTATATCGTAAACTAAGTCGAAACTACTTAGTAGAAGTCCGAAATGCGACTATGATTAGAGGTAAATTTTAAGTTGGTACTTAAATTTAAGTTGCAACTTTGTTAGTTTCGACTTAGTTGATGGACTATGAATACGCACCTTAGTTTTTACTCAGATCGATGAAATGATTTCGTGAATTGGACTACGCATACATGTGATACTTATGCTTTTAATTTATAAGGTAATTTTATGTTTTTACACTCTTGCTACCACATGAATATATGAATTCGTGATAAGAATATATGAATTCGCCTTGGAAGATAGAAAGCGAGTATGAATAAATGCCGAACGAAGGAATTTGTATTCCTTCAACTTAAATAAATGCATTTTTCAAACAAAAGTGCCTACGTTACTTAGTGCCTTGGTAATGGCGAATTCGTAAGGATCTATTGATTGCACTATAAACATTTTCATTTATTTGTTAAACATGCAATTACTTCCATTACAACCCTGTCCTATGGATGCTAGAAGCGCGAATTCATATAAGGTGGTGTTACCGGAAAATGAACGAATAAATTATATGTATATCAGAAAATTAATAAGATGAAATGAAATTATTGTTTGATTTCTAACCAAACCTATGTATGTATCTCAATCGCCTAATGGTTTGCCGAACCGTAAAGATTGTTTACACATCCAATTTCGTGAGTATATACCTGGTACTCACACCTTTTTTAAGAAGTTTCACTTATATCATGTGTACGGTGTTACACACGCATTTTTTTTAGAAAAACACTCCATTTTTCAAGAAAAATTAGTTTTTTTAAGGAGAGAGATTTTTTAGTGAAATAAACGTCCTTGAAATATCTAAAATAGTTTACGAGATATTCAAGTTTGAAGAATTTTATTTTTTTACTTTTGACCTTGACTTAAACTTACAGTTTTTGTTTCCCCTAAAAACAAATTATGTCGTTGTTATCTGTATAAATTCCTCAATTTTTTTTTTTTTTTTGAGAAATATACGTATTCTGCACTTGTTCCATCAAAATATGACGTGAATGTTTTAAACGGAAGAAGGAGAGACCAATATATAAATACAAACACGCTAATTCACTTTAGAATTGAGAAGAGAAATGTCGACCTACGTCACGATTTACATTGTTTTTCTTATGTAAATGAATGTACATAGATTCTAAATTGTTTAAAATATTTAAGCGGTTGCGTTTCAATTTAGAAGCGACTAATATAAAATTATTTTCTTTTAAAATATGTTTTCCCAACAAAACATGTTCTGCCAGGCCAGTTTTAATTGGTTCAATATTTTTAATACTGTTTAAAATGCATATTTTGCGCTGGCAACAAAACCGGTAAATAAAGTTACTGTCAGATTTTAAACCCTTTTCGCATTCTGCGTACTGTCGTAACTGGGGTGATCAGACGTCCTGATTTATCAGGAAATGTGCTGCGGCCAGATCCCATGTCGTTGCACAACACTGATCGCTAGAGTGCAACCCTGTCGTAGTCAGTAGTATTTCGACTTCGAAGGATGGGAAGGAGAAAATGAAATCGACAAACATGCATACCACCATGCATACATATAAAATACCGTTCACCGTTTGGCAAAAAGTATTCCAAAGCAAAGCAGCGGGTGCAAACTGCAACAATTTGAGAAATACAAAAAACACGTATATATATTTTAAATTCGCGTTGTAATAATATAAATTGGTAAAATCTTAGCCTTTCATCTTCATCGTCACAATCATGATGCAACGATTACATGACGACTACACTTTCGCACACTCGGTCGTGATATTTCAATTCAATTGGCTTCTAAAAATTCACTTGGAGCAGGTATTTTCTGGTGGTTGGTTGACATTTTCGCGAAATATTTACAAAAACCTGCAATTTTTTAAATATAGACTGTGCTGCACCAATTCTAAACATCAGTTTTCAGTAATATCTCTTCTTTTCTTTTCCTGAAATGTGTTTTGTGCATGCACACAGAGACTTTTTACAATTTCGTCATATTTTATAGTTAAAACGTCACATTTATTGAATTTTAATGCAATTATCCACTTTTAATAATTTCCACAGATTTTATGAAAAAAGTACTAATTTTAATGCAAACATAAATTTTTTCACTAATTTTTCCCCATAAAATGTAAACAAACAATGCGTGCACAACGATTAGCAAACGACAGTGCCGTACTTATCCGTTTATGCATCTTCTACGATTTTCCGATAACTAGCCGATAACGACAAGTGTGCAGATCTCCTTTGAAATGCATCTACTCGTCTCAAAAATTCAGGGCAAGACGATAACGCAATATGATTGGACGACAAGTGTGCAGATAGCCTTATACAGCGTTTTCACAATTCGTAATTCGCTCTCTCATTCGTAATTCGCTCTTCCATTCGTCATTCGCCTTGCCAATTACCTTCCGAATTACGTAATTCCCCATACAAAATTTTGAGAGCGAATTACCTCATTTGTAGGTAATTCAGATCGAATTACCATGCGAATGACGAACGAATCGGTGCCTTCTCTAATATTTATCGAAGATATATCGAAGTTTTCACCGGCGTGGTCCCATTTGCTGGCACTTTTTCTACTTATAGAATAATATTAATAAAATATTCTCTATATAAATTAAAATTGTTGATGATAACTTAAATTTTAGCTCCATCTTCGAAATTTGCAGTACACAAAGTAATAATAAATAGCGAAGAACATGAACAAGAACTAGAGCTGCCAAACGAATTACTAATGTGTGGCGTGGAAACAGGGTAATTCACGAATTACTTATCGCATTACTTAGAGAGCGAATTACGAAGTGTGGAAACATCGTATAAGTCTTCATGGTAATCGTCCATCAAATTAGTCGCCGTCTTCGTATTTATTGTCCATCAAAATTATGCTTTTAACACAATACCCGACGAACGGCGAAGTCCGCCGAATTGGCGATGCCGTCGTTCACCGTTCGCCCTGCCATTTCGCCTACTTTAACAGAATTAGAGCGGTAGCGAAATAGCTGATACCATTTCGTCGCACTTATAAGTTAGGTATTTAGGAATGATGAAATGATAACAAATCTAAATATAAGGCAGGGGGGAATTACAATAAATTATTTTATTTTAAGCCAGATTTAACGAATCGATCACTGCATTTTTCAACCATCAAAAATATTTCGTGTTACATGCTGTTTGCGTGTATGTGTGCGTTGCCGGGCATGAGCTCGAAACCGTTATTTTGGAAGTTGCAGCTATAGATGATTAGAAATTTGCCGCTTCATAAACTATTTTTTGTTTAATTGTAATCTACCGTTGCCGTGCTGTAGAGTTTTATGTACCATTTGTTACATGAGTATTCCGTTACGCCTTGCGGTTAACATTCGCCGTTCGTTAGGGCATTAAATTCGCAATTTTATTTTTTTCAACGCTGTGTAGAACTATTGCTTGCATGCCTAAAAATAAAACTTATATTTCGCCGAACATATTGTTAAGCACATAATACCGAATTGCATCGCCTCGTAACTATGTTCACGAGAAGTCAGGCAAACGGAACCCCAAATGCCGCGGACGCTGATTCCATTAATTCAGATTCTGATGTAGATGCGACTGCTGAGAACATCGGGGCGCTGGATACCACAACGCAGGCACAGGTAAACGTTGGAAGCGATGAAACTTCGCTTGTGGCAAGTATTACCGCACTTAGAGCCAGCGTGCAGAAATTGCACAATGAAACCAGCCGCAGTCAACCAGAATTACAGAAACTCCGCCAGCGAATGAAGATACACTCAGCAAACAATGACGTCAACTTAAACGTACCGCCTTCGAATCCACAGCTAGCTATTGGCACCGCCTGCAGCACAGCCTCCGGCGTTTACAGAAGGGTCGGCTACCAATAATATTTTGGCAGACATACCGCTTTCACATCAACAGTTAACGCAAGGTGTACCGCAATGGCCTCGGCCCGCAGCTCAGCCTCCGATTCCCCCACCATCAAATGTGTTGGCGTTTATTGAAGGGTCTGCCGCTAAGCTATTCCCGTTGCTAGCATTTGATGGTAATCCAGATAATTGGCCACTATTTATCGCCAACTACATCGACACCACTGCTGATTTCGGGTATGGCAACAGACAGAACCTCATGCGTCTGCAGAAAGCGTTACAGGGTAATGCTAATCGACCGGTTACTTCCATGCTTATGTACCTAGACGACATACCAAAGGTGATGGAGGAGTTGCAATTCAACTTTGGTCGGCCTGATCTGAACGCTGCAACAAAATATAAATTCCAGTCGTCAGTCAATGTCAAGCGGAGGTCCAGTACATCGGGTCATGTATAGCAGTGAGGAGCAACCTCTGTGTCTTTGCTGTGTCCAGTCACACGTCTTAACATCTTGTCGAAAATTTGAATTGCTGGACTGCGAAGCCAGGTGGGAGTTTGTCAAGCAAAATCGTTTTGTTCGGGTGCCTAAAACCAGGTCATGGTTTATCCGACTGACGCCATCGCAAAACATGCACCATCAACTGCTTCAGCAATCCAATCGTCTGTTGTCACAATCGAATGCTGAACGTGAACGCGTCTTTAACTGCCGCCGAGAAAAGGAAGTAAGTCTTTTTAAAATTTTGCCTGTTATTCTGATTGGCCCGCATGGAAGTGTAGAAGTACACGCCATGTTTGACGAAGGGTCATCCGTGTCGCTGCTGAATGAGGATGTAGTTTTTCCGTTTGAAAGGAAGTGCCATGCCACTTTCACTGCAATGGTATGGAGGTAGCCAAACTACAGAGTATTCGAAAATAGTGTCGTTAGATGTCAGACGTGTAAATGGTCGCAATTACTCTCTGAAAAGTATACCTACCATCAAAGGCCTCAATTTCCCGAGGCAATAGTTCAACAAGTCCGAGGACGTGCATCTAAGAGAACTACCGGTGGAAAGTTACGCCGAAGTAAAGCCTGTTCTGTTACTTGGTTTGGACAACTGCCATTTAAGTGTGCCAATCAAAGCAGTCGCAGCCAGGTACAATCAGCCAGTCGCTATCAATACAAAGTTGGGCTGGGTTGTATACGGACCACATTGCCACGAAACTGCTGCCATGCCTAGGGTTCTGTATGTTCGTAAATCCGATGCTTTACGTCAGTTGAACAAACTTGTGGAGGAATACTTTTCAGTGGAGAATTTCGTGGTCATGAGCAACGTTGCCTTGGAGGCAGAATGCACACAGCGTGCCAGAAAAGTATTGGCCGAAACCACCAGAGACCTCGGCCAGAGGTATGAAGTTGGGTTGCTTTGGCGGGAAGAGAGGGTCAATCTTCCGCAAAGCTATGTAATGGCCAAACACCGTCTGCTCAACATCGAGTCACGCATGCAGAGAGATGCCATATTCGTCGACAGCTATAACAGAGAGATTACGAAGTACGTTGACAAGGGATATGCAAAGCAGTTGACGTCTGTTGAAGCCGACCGCGTGGGTCCACGACATGGTGTCCCCCTATTTCGGTGTCACCAACCCTCACAAGCCGCAGAAGCTTCGCATTGTTTTCGACGCAGCTGCAGTTGCAGGCACAGTTGCTAGTCACATATCCAACAACAAATCGGTACAACATAAACTGAATGGTGAATGCGGATCTGCGGGCAAAGCCATCATGAGAATGAAGCGTCAAGCAACAACAGAGAAGGTTCTTGGAATGTTCTGGAACAACGCTAGCGACGGGCTAGAATTCCATTTTCGATTCCATAACATTGCTCAAGACGTTCTTAACGGCATATGACCCCCAAGCAAGCGAGAACTGTTGGGGATAGTAATGTCGATGTACGACCCATTCGGCCTATTAGCAAATAACACGATATGCCCAAAATTGCTGGTGCAAGAGCTGTGGAAAATTGGTGTGCAGCGGGATGACGCTATTCCGAACGAATTGGTAGAGCGGTGGTCTAAGTGGTGGAGGAACGCCCAGTCCGTCAAACGTCTTTCGGTACCACGGCGTTACTCAAAAATGTAGTTAGTCGCTGATGATATCCAGCTGCATATTTTTGTTGACGCCAGCGCCTCAGCTTATGCTGCTGTTGCATACCTACGTGTTAAAAAACACGATAAAGTTGATGTTTCTATGGTGTGCGCCAAGGCAAGGTGTGCGCCACTAAAAGGTTTGACAATGCCTCGCCTTCAGTTACAAGCTGCAGTTTTGGGTTGCCGTCTGAGGGAGTCCCTCGAGCGCTGCCACGACTTTAAAGTGAATAGCACGACGTTTTGGAGCGATTCCAGAACGGTCGTACTGTGGATTCGCTCTACAAGTAGGAGCTACAAACAGTTTGTAGCGTTTCGAGTAGCCGAAATATTAAGCACGACATCTATAAAACAATGGCGCTGGATCCCAACGTCATTAAATGTCGCAGACGAAGCAACACGAGCATCTACGTCATTTGAATATAGCATGACATCGAGGTGGTTTGCAGGACCAGAGTTCCTTCGGGAGGACGCATCAAGCTGGCCACAGGCAATCCCAGAACTGACGTCAGATGAATGTGCACTAGAGGAAGTTGCGAAACGAGTGTCATCATTGTGAATACAGTATCCAATCAATTTTGGTAATTTTTCGTCATTTGTAAGATAATTAGAGTCGTTGCTTGGGTGCTACGTTTTGGTCATAACGCGAAGTCACATGATCGCCGAAGTGGAGATTTGAGCTCTGCTGAACTCGCAGCCGCTGAAAATAACATAATTCGCCGCATTCAGTTCGAGTCATTTGCAGATGAAATCCAAGCCATTAAGAACAAGGGTTGTCTGCCGAAGTCGAGCTCTCTATATCAGCTAACGCCTTTTATAGACGTCGATGATTTGCTGAAGGTAAACGGGAGAATTGATGCTGCTTATTGCATTCTGATTACAGCCAGGCGCCCGGTTATCCTGCCACAAAATCACTACGTGACATGTCTCGAAATATCACTGCCAGCTTCACCACCAGAACGACAGTCTCACAATCAACGAAATGCCACAAAGATTTTGGGTGCCTCGTGCGCGTGCTCTGCTAAAGTTAGTCAAGAGGGAGTGTTCTATGTGCATTCATACCAACGCAAAGCCAGCAGTTCTGCTTATGGGTCAGTTGCCGATAGCCCATCTCACACCGTTTCTGTTAGGCTGTCTTAACTCACCGCAAACGCCTAGCCCAGAAGAAAAGTGGTGCATCGCACAAAATTTAAAGGACCGGCTGTGGAAGAGGTGGACTGTTGAATATTTGCCACAACTGATCGCTAGAGTGCAACCCTGTCGTAGTCAGTAGTATTTCGTTTGGTAAAAAGTATTCCAATTTTGACGAGCAAAGCAGCGGGTGCAAAATGCACCAATTTGAAACATACAAAAAACACCTACATACATTTTAAATTCGCATTGTAATAATGTAAATTGGTAAAATCTTAGGGCCGGTTACTCAATGTCTGGTTAACACTAATCTCCGGTAAAACATTGTTATCGACGTTACCGACTCCATGTTATATGCATGGAGCCGAACACGTCGATAATGATGTTTAAACGGAGATTAGTGTTAACCAGACATTGAGTAACCGGCCCTTAGTCTTCATGGTAATCGTCCATCAAATTAGTCGCCGTCTTCGTATTTGTCGTCCATCAAAATTATTCATCAGTATCGTCCATCAACACTAGGTGTATTTTTTTGTAAACGAGTGACAAAAAAACACTCGGTAAAGTAACGAAATACATGCAAAGCAACAACACAAACTCGGCTATTTATCCGAGTTCAGCCAGGTCGGTTAAAAATACGCAACCCGATGCGTAGTGCTGTTAAGTGAAAAAGCAGCTCTATTGTGAATGAACTGTTGAAAAATCCTTGGGAAAATTTCATGCAAACGTCAAATTCGTTTTCTTTTTATAGATACATAAACAAAACGAAACAAAATGGAGCAAGCTTAAGTAAAATTACTCTGCAGAGTTTTTGTTAAATTGAGAATTAAAACTTTATTTAAATTTTAGATATCAAGATAGGAAGCGAAGAAAATGGTCCCGTGAGGAGACAGTGGGATTTTTAAGGTGCTATCTTGCCCGGAAAGCTGAATTTGAGCATTTCAAAAGGAAGAGGGTCGCTTACGCCAATGTTTTGGAAGACATAGTGTCCTTGGGGATCACCGTAGGTTATATATACAAAAAAAAAAAACAATGAACTTAATTAATAAATCATACTTTTAGGATTCAGAGCGGCCTCCGCGGCACAGGTGCCAGCCCATGTATTGCTGCTTATATGGAGCTGGTGGACGAAATCTTTGGAAACACTCCTATCATTTCAAATGACCACACCGTCCACGTGGGCTTCAGATCATTTGAGATGGTGTCGGTAGACGTGCCGCCACCTGTACCATCACCGTCGCCAACATCGTCAATTTCATCTCTGGCTTCACCATCGACGATGGAAAGCCCTTCGTCATCGCCACATTTACAATCGGTGAACACCACCACTAGAAGCTGCTTCTTCTTCAGCTCCAGTGGGACGAAAAAAGCGTTCTGCTCGAGAACTGTATTACCAGTAAAATTGGAGTTAAAATAGTTGGAGGCTGAAGTGAAGAAGAAATGAAGAAAGAAGAAATGAATGAATGAATTATGTGATATTTTGGCTTATTTTTAAGGAGAAAATGAATTTATTGTGTTAGGTAATGATAAACCTTTTTTAGTTATACGATTTAAGGAAAAAGAAGAAATTATCATGTGATATACATATCGTCACTAGACACGAATAAAGGCGCGAGCTCAAAAGTTGACCGCGAAAACGGGCGCATAAAAAAACTTCAGCGAAGAAAGACTCTTAACATAGTGACGGCGAAGAAGAACGCGTAAACTTATTTTCGCGGTCAACTATGTTTGCGGTTGTAATAGTATGTACATTCCGTAAAGAGTTTTTGGCGAATAATGCGGAAGTGACAGTCCTTGGCCAAGTATAAATCTATGATTACGCGTCTTTCTTAGCCGTCAAGTAGGTCACGCGTCTTTCTTCGCCGAAGTTTTTATTAAGCGCCTTTTTTCGTACATTTTTTTTTATGCGTCTTTTTTCGCCCTCGAAACACTAGCGCGCCTTTATTCGTCTCTAGTGACGATATATTCTTATAAAAATTTGTGTTCCTAGATGTAAAGAAAAGTAATGAAATATATTTTTTCAACGTTTTTATCTGAAAATGTAATAAACATATCATGGCTTACTTAAATAATACTCTTAATACTTACTCTTAAATAATTAAAAAGATTTTGCCTCCTGTCAAGCGTTTCATTCAGATTAGACTCATCTTGTTGTTCTTCTTGAGCAAAGGCAATCGCTTCATATAGTTCGTCGATAACACATAAGTCATCAAAAGAGATGCAAATATTATGCAAAACACATGCGCTGACTACGATGTTGGTTATCACTTTCAAGTCGGTTTGCTCTGTAAACCTCAAAAGTCGACGAAATCGCCCTTTAAGCAACCCAAAGGCGTTTTCAACTACCATTCTTGTAGAAGAATGTATTTCGTTAAATTTTCGCTGGGATTCATTTAAAATTCCATAGTCTTTGAAAGGTGACACCAGCCATTTCGTTGACGGATAGGCTGAGTCGCCGATGATGAAATATGAATTTGGAAACATTTCCTCATAATGATTTTCTGCGTCCTGAAAGAGTTTGGATCTTGTTAGCACTCTATAATCATGAAGCGACCCTGGCTCTCCACAAGTTATATCGATGAACTTTTTGTTAGCATCGACTACAGCTTGAAGCACTGTATGTTCTTTTCCGATTAAAGTACATTTCCTTTTGTACTTTTGGTCTATTAATTACAATATGCGTGCAATCGATCGCACCAATCACGCCAGGAATGCGTTTTTTTCTGGTAAAATTTGTCCACATTTGCATTTAAATAATGTCCTTCTGGCCACTTGATGTGTTCATTCCTAATGGAAATTAAAAATCCAGTAACACGCTGAACTGTTGACTATGCCGCTGACAGATACCCCAAACAAATTTCCAAGTTGTCTAAAGGTCACTGTGTTGCTCACGTATCAGATATACATATAAGGAGACTTTTTGGCCGTAACCGGTTTTCTTCATCCGCCAGATGGGTCAGGAACATAGTTAGATTGCGAGTACCTCACTGAAAATAATACGGACTCTTGTAGTTAAGTAGTTATTTCAATAAATTTTTGGATATTACTTATGAGGTATTCCACCGTCACGCGTTTCAGTCTCATGTGCATCTTAAAATCACTCCCACCCATGGCATCGAGAGTCGCTTCAAAATTGTTGCACTTGGGGTGGTCCTCGGTTTCGCCTTCCGAGTCTTCAGAAGAGCTGGAGCTTGCAAAAACGCCATCCAAAAGTTCATTCACAACTTCTTCCTGTCTATTGAGGCGCAATTCACTTCGCTCATCCAAGAGCAGAGACACAACCTACAAATATTACATATAGAATGTAATTTTTTACTAAATTTTTTTTAGTTAATTAAAAATTTACCAAAGAATCTTGGAATCGCTCATTTTGTTTTGATTTTCAAGCTTCAATAAAGAAATGTACGTTTTGTTGACGAGTAACGCTCGCTTACAAAAAAATGCCACTAGTATTCATCTTTCTACAAAATATCGTCATCGTCCACCAACATAGTCGCCGTCATCATCTTTATGATGAAAAATTTGTTAATAGGAACTGACTTCTTTAAATATTTTTTTCTAAATTTCTGTATTTTCTATTTTGTGTTTAATTAGACTTAAGGAAATTTTGATATGCACTTTTTTAATTTGTATTGTGATATTTTTAAGTTTTAAGCTAAGTATTGAAATGAATTATGTGATATTTTGGCTTATTTTTAAGGACAAAATGAATTTATTGTGTTAGGTAATGAAAAACCTTTTTTAGTTATACGATTTAAGGAAAAAGAAGAATTTATCATGTGATATACATATCGTCACTAGACACGAATAAAGGCGCGAGCTCAAAAGTTGACCGCGAAAAAGGGCGCATAAAAAAACTTCAGCGAATAAAGACTCTTAACATAGTTGACGGCGAAGAAAGACGCTTTAAAATATTTGACGGCGAAGAAGAACGCGTAAACTTATTTTCGCGGTCAACTATGTTTGCGGTTGTTATAGTATGTATATTCCGTAAAGAGTTTTTGGCGAATAATGCGGAAGTGACAGTCCTTGGCCAAGTATAAATCTATGATTACGCGTCTTTCTTCGCCGTCAACTAGGTCACGCGTCTTTCTTCGCCGAAGTTTTTATTAAGCGCCTTTTTTCGTAAATTTTTTTTTATGCGTCTTTTTTCGCCGTCGAAACACTAGCGCGCCTTCATTCGTCTCTAGTGACGATATATCCTTATAAAAATTTGTGTTCCTAGATGTGAAGAAAAGTAATGAAATATATTTTTTCAACGTTTTTATCTGAAAATGTAATAAACATATCATAACTTACTTAAATAATACTCTTAATACTTACTCTTAAATAATTAAAAAGATTTTGCCTCCTGTTAAGCGTTTCATTCAGATTAAACTCATCTTGTTGTTCTTCTTGAGCAAAGGCAATCGCTTCATATAGTTCATCGATAACACATAAGTCGTCAAAAGATATGCAAATATTATGCAAAACACATGCGCTGACTACGATTTTTGTTATCACTTTCAAGTCGGTTTGCTCTGTAAACCTCAAAAGTCGACGAAATCGCCCTTTTAGCAACCCAAAGGCGTTTTCAACTACCATTCTTGTAGAAGAATGTATTTCGTTAAATTTTCGCTGGGATTCATTTAAATTTCCATAATCTTTGAAAGGTGACACCAGCCATTTCGTTGACGGATAGGCTGAGTCGCCGATGATGAAATATGAATTTGGAAACATTTCCTCATAATGATTTTCTGCGTCCTGAAAGAGTTTGGATCTTGTTAGCACTCTATAATCATGAAGCGACCCTGGCTCTCCACAAGTAATATGGATGAACTTTTTGTTAGCATCGACTACAGCTTGAAGCACTATGCTGTATGTTCTTTTCCGATTAAAGTACATTTCCTTTTGTACTTTTGGTCTCTTAATTACAATATGCGTGCAATCGATCGCACCAATCACGCCAGGAATGCGTTTTTTCTGGTAAAATTTGTCCACATTTGCATTTAAATAATGTCCTTCTGGCCACTTGACGTGTTCATTCCTAATGGAAATTAAAAATCCAGTAACACGCTGCACTATTGACCATGCCGCAGACTGAGATACCCCAAATAAATTTCCAAGTTGTCTAAAGGTCACTGTGTTGCTCACGTACCAGATATACATATAAAGAGACTTTTTGGCCGTAACCGGTTGTCTTCCCCCGCCAGATGGGTCAGGAACGTAGTTATATTGCGAGTACCTCACTGAAAATAATACGGACTCTTGTAGTTAAGTAGTTATTTCAATAAATTTTTGGATATTATTTATGAGGTATTCCACCGTCACGCGTTTCAGTCTCATGTGCATCTTAAAATCACTCCCACCCATGGCATCGAGAGTCGCTTCAAAATTGTTGCACTTGGGGTGGTCCTCGGTTTCGCCTTCCGAGTCTTCAGAAGAGCTGGAGCTTGCAAAAACGCCATCCAAAAGTTCATTCACAACTTCTTCCTTTCTATTGAGGCGCAATTCACTTCGCTCATCCAAGAGCAGAGACACAACCTACAAATATTACATCTAGAATGTCATTTTTTACTAAATTTTGTTTAGCTAATTAACAATTTACCAAAGAATCCTCGGAAGCACTCATTTTGTTTTGATTTTGAAGCTTCAATAAACAAATGTACGTTTTGACAGCTGAGATGTTGCCACTAGTATTCATCTTTCTACAAAATATCGTCATCGTCCACCAACATAGTCGCCGTCATCATCGTTATTGTCCAGGAAAAGTCTTCCTCGTCGTCGTCAGTGTTATTTGTCAGCCTTATTCATATAATTTGAAACAAACACGCAAGTCAATTGGAATAAAGCGACAATAATGACCATAAAAAAATATAGCTGAAAATGCCAACGTCTTGTTTATAAAAGGACAATGAAATGACCATCGAAAATGAAAATGTACCTAGCGTAAGAAAATCTGTATCAATTTCAGAAGTCACAAGCGGTCAGTGGGCAAGGATTTTTAAATATGTCATAAAGCAACATTCGCATTTTTATTATTAACTAGTTATCCCGGGCAGACGTTGTCCTGCTACACACCGATACATAGGTAGGTTACATGCATCGTAGATATTATGGGTCTTCACACCGAAGCTTGGTACTTGGTAAATCGTTGTTCGGTAGATTTTGCCATTTATTTTGTTTGTGTTATACTGTTTTACACAAACAAAATACATTAGAAAAACTTACCGGGCACCGCGCCACCGAATACCGAGCTCGGTGTGAGGACCCATATTGTTTCTTAAGCCCAAAATACAATAACGCAGTGGCAGTTTTGCGAAATCAGCTGTTCACTGCCACTGCCGCAGCGCTATTGTATTTTGGGCTTTACGTTTCATTTGATATCGAAATTTACAAAAGATTGTTAATATTGTTCACTACGTTTGAAAAAAAAACGATCTCTGGTTACGGTCTAAACATCAGCCAGGGGAATGGATAACATTGGATGGTGTCCAAACGGTACATTTTTTATTGGTGTTGATGTGCGCTGTCGTGCTGCCCTTCTACCCGAATATTAGTGTCTGCTTACCTCTGGTATTTAGGAGCACCAAGACTCAGAAATGCTGGACTGGTTACCACCAGTGATGCGTCTGACACGTCGGACTGTTCCGGCTCTAGTTAGGGCTCCGCTGAGGCTTTAAACGGCTTGGGTTTAAATACGCAGAATTTTGGTTGCAGTGCTGGCTCCTTATTGCTGGTTGGGTAGCGAGTCTGCTTACGGAGTTTGACTCCTCACACTCACAATTGAAAAATGTTCTTTTTAAATTAAACTTTTAATTATCGTGCACCCGCGGCAACTACATTCGCTCATAATATATAAACACCGTTTTGAAATTGATTTAAGTGAAGTTTATTACACACAAGGCTAAAACAACCGATCAGTTTAAAGTGTGCGAAATGAATGCGCTTCTAAAATTTTCTAAAATACCGCTTAACTTAAAAGTGGAACGCAAGTTTGCCTATGGAACAAACCTTTTGTCAGTGCTGAATTAGGGTTGCCATTACATCACCCTTCTTGGGAAAGATTGTTGTAAGGTGATCAGGCTTACAATAATCTATTGCTCCAAGAGGCGATGGCAAATTGATGTGGAGGAATGAGATGTGTAGTCAAAAAAATATTTCCTTCCCCCTTTAACTCATTCGTCCATATCAATTTGAAGTTACAATACGAAGGTTACAAAAAAAATGTTCCACGTATAAGTTATTATACTAATTTTGTAACAACTAATTATACTATTGTAATTTATAAATTTTTAGAGTACAATATAATTTAGTTTTTTTTTTCTTCTTCTTCGTAAAATTAATTCTATGTCTAACCAAATTCTTTTTTTTTTCTTTTCTATAGTTTGCATGAAACATATCAACTTTATATAAAAATTAATATTTGTTTTTGTTATTTTTGACTGCTAAATATTAAGTATAGGTTTTTCTTTCTTTTTGTCTTAAGTTAAATATCATTTTATGTACGTCTAATTATACGCATTTTTCATAATGAGTAAATTAAGTAATTACTAACCAAAATTTTTAATTTATGTATTAATACTTATGTATGTATTTGTTGAAACTTATTACTTCATGTTTTCTTATTTTGTTTTTACAAAATGGTAGTTATCACGCATGTTTATAAACACATTTAAATCAAGTCGCTTAATATTGTAACATTATAACGCAGTACATCATATTTGTATAAGTGACGTGAAAGAATCATATTTAGTTTAATTGAGAAATTTCGCAAAATAGAAAAATGCATATGCAGTTGCATGTTTAAAAATTCAGAAAAATATGTTAAGTGACCTTTTGAATTCCGTTTTTGTGAACCGTTTTAAATTTATTTTTAGTTTTATCGAAAACCGTAACATTTACACCGTCTACTTTCTGTACCGTGTAAGGACCCAGATATATATTGCTGTGTTTATCTCTAGGTTCCTTTTGTATTAAAACCGTATCTTTTTCTTTAATTAGTACAGGACGTGCATTTTTATCAAATGACTGCTTCGATTGGAGTTTATGTTTTGTTACGAGTTCTTTAGCGAGTGCATGGGATTTTTGCAGACGATATTTTACTTCTTTTGCATAATTATCAACGTTGTAAATTGGATCAATTTTAACTTTTTGTACTTCGTTTGGTAAAACAGCGTTTTTACCAAAAATCAGTTCAAATGGAGTAAATTTATTATCAAAAACTGTGTTTGAGGTTGTGTTATGCAAAAAAGTAAAATATTTTAAATATGTATCCCAGTCGGAATATGATTCATTTAAAAATGCTCGTAAGTACTCATTAAATACTCTATGATTTCGTTCTATTGCACCTACAGTTTCGTGATGGTGTGCTGTCGAAAAGTCATGTTTAATTTTTAAAAGTTTGGTTAATTCATCAAAAAGTTCGTTTTTATATTCAGTCCCTAAATCGGATTTTATAGAGTGCATAATGCCATATATTAAAATGAATCTTTCAAAAATTGCTGATGCAACAGTTTTAGCACTTTTATCTGGTATAGGAACAGTAACTAAATAT